TGGCCCTGTGGCTCAAGTGGTAGAGTGCTAGTCTTGAGCAAAAGAAACTGAGAGACAGTGCCCAGACCCTGAGTTCAACCACCTCCACGTTTCTAGTGTATGAGACTCTCACAGCAGCTCACAAGACTGTCAAACCCTTAAGCTAATCTAAACACAAAACCTGGAATCTTTTTGTCTGACACATAAGATGACAATTGCCAACAAAAAAATGGCCATTTGGCCACTTGTAAAACTTCCTTCCTCAGCTCTCACTAGGTCCTGAGACCAAGAAAAGATCTTATGCCTTGTCTGTCCAAGGAGTCTAGGCCAGGGCTGTGGAAACCATTGTCATGTTATTCTCACCATTTATTCAGTCTGTCCAAACAGAGCCAGAGGCTGGACTGATCACTTCCCTTGGAAAGGTCACTGTGTTGATCCACATTCTTTTGTTTGTTTTTGTTTTATTTATTTATTTATTTTTGATCTTCGGATCTTAAACTCTGGGCCTGGGCTCTGTCCCTGAGCTCTTCAGCTCAAGGCTAATGCTCTACCACTTGAGCCACAGCACCACTTCTGCTTTTATGAGCAGTATATTGAAGATAAGAGTCTCACAGACTTTCAGGCCCGAGATGGCTTTGAACCACAATCCTCATATCTCAGCCTTCTCAGTAGCTAGGATTACAGGCAGGAGTCACCGGGGCCCAGCGTCAAACCATATTCTATCCTTTACTTTTTCCTCCCTTTCTTCCTATGGGTATATAAACCAGCTAGGTTCATCAGAGTATGGTGTATAGTTTCCTTTAGGAACTTCTTGGCTATGCTTTCTTGCAAGATGATTGTTCAGCCACCGTAAAAAACATACCCTTTTTTTTTTTTCTAAAAGTTTCTCAGGGCTCTAAAAGATTTTCTAGAACACCCAGAAAATCTCAAGGGTCTTGATTCCTTGGCATGAGAAGTAAAAAAATGTGTATGTATCAGTACTGGAGCTTGAACTCAGAGCCTGGGCACGGTACCTTAGCTTTTTCACTCACCTCTGCTGCTCTACCCCATGAGAACCATAGCTCCATTCTGGCATTGTGGTTTGTAGTTGGAGATCGAGTTTCACAGACTCTTCTGCCTAGGCTGGCTTTGAACTTTGATTCTCAAAACTTAGCTTCCTAAGTAGCTAGGATTTCTGGAGGGAGCCACCAGTGCCTGGCTACTATTGTTTTGTTTGTTTGTTTGTTTGAAGTCTCTTTGTCAGCAGCCCTTTGTCCATTCGTCTCTAGCCTCTGTTGTCAGTGAGGATTTGGCTTCAGAGTTTCAGCAATGGACCTTCCTGAGACCTAAGAAAGCATGTATTTGTTTCTAGATTATCTGAGGTGTGTGGTGGAAGCACACAGCCAGAGAGTAAAGAGAGCAGCAAAGAGGCAAGAAGGTTGAAAAACGTGTTTATAGTGTTATCTGCTATCACCTGTGGATTTCTAACCTCTTCCTTCTCCATCCAAGGTACCAGTGACCTGTGCCAAGAGGACCCCTGTGGCAATGCTTCCTGCGTGGAACTAAACAACAAACATTTCTGCAAATGCCCGGAGGGATATTATTATACCTCTCCAAACTGCACAAAAGGTGAGTTACAAGGGGCTGGGAATGTGGCTTAGTAAACTGCTTGGCTAGCATGCATGAAGTTATGGGTTTGATCCTCAGTACCACAAACACAGAAGACAATGGGATTGGCACTGTGCTGGCCTTGAGCAAGAGAAGCTCAGAGACAATGCCCAAGCCCTGAGTTCAAGCACCATAACTGACAACAAAAAAATGTGATTGACAAGCGCTGAGCATAGTGGAGCTCCACATCTCATACCTTCAGTGGGCTTTAGGGAAACTGGAGATGGTGGTGAATAGAGTCTCTAGGATATGAGAAGCAAAAAGAAAAAAGCTGGAGAGACCTCCAAGGGCCAGCCAGATGAGGAAAAGGCTGGTATTACCTTGGACCAACACACACCCAGTGGGAGAGGAGAGGGACAAAAGCAGCATTGCAGACTGGGCTGGAAGTCTGGGGAAGATGAGGTTCTTTCCTCCCGGGTTTCCAGGGTGGGGTGATAGAAACTATCAAAGACCAGGAGACCACAGAGACTCCATCTACACTGTGCTGTTGAATCATGGGACATGCATGGACTGGGATCTTGGCTTTTCTTTTTAATTTTTTTGTCTGAGGTTTGAGCTCAGATGCTGGTGGTCTTGCTTAGCTTTTATCTTTTGTTTTGTTTGTTTGTTTGTTCGGTCGTGGGGCTTCAGCTCAGGACCTGAGAGCTGCCCCTGAGCTTTCTGGCTGAAGTCCACAGCACCACTTGTGGTTTTTGAGCAGTTAATTGAAGATGAGATTCTCATAGACTTTACATGTACACTGACCCTCAGATCTCAGACTCTTGAGTACCTGAGATTACAAGTGTGAGCCGCACGCAAGTCCACCTGGCATTTTCATTCATGTGGCCTTGTACCACTTGAGACACAATACTTCTGCTTCTGGCTTTTTGCCAGAATCGAGTCCCACAGACTTTTCCATGAGCTACTACAGAGAGATTCTGCTTGATTTTCAGGAACCACATTCTTCACCGAGATTACAGTAACAGTAACTGACACATCTGGCTTGGATGATGAACATTCTTTGAATTACCAAGAGTTATGTGATAAAATCAATACATTTGTAAGTATTCTCCACCTTCCTTTCTCTAGATGAGTGTTGGTTCTCCTGTGGAGCTGGAGAGGGTGGGGTCTTTGGGTGGTGCACACCAACTCTGTTCCAGAGGTTCACGAAGTGAAAGGCACCCCTCCATCTTTGCCCATTCACAGGGCTTCTCCTTGATCTTCTGCCTGAAGCAGAGCCCTTGGCATGGCAGAGGCCCTGGGACTCCTGCTCCACCAAACCCTCACCCATTGTTGTATAAACCATTCCTATAGATTTAGATGAAGAAGAAGCCTAACACTATTGTAAAGTAAGTTATTTCAGGGCATGCAGCTCAATGGGGCTGTGGAACCCTTGCCTAGTATGGAAAGGGCCCTGGGTTCAACTTCTACCATCAGGGTGGAGGTCAGTATGAGAGTGCCTACTTGGCATGCACAAGGCTTTAAGAGAAATCTGAGCACTGCAATAAAGAGATAAACCAATGAAGAAATCAAAAGAGCTGCCCTGGTAGCTCCTGCTATGACTAATTAATTAAATAAGTAAAAGAATTCTCAACATGGAAGAGTGCTATGCACTGCTGTGGCTCAGATGACTCATGCCTGTGGTCCTAGCTATGCAAGAGTCTGAGATCTAAGGATTGCAATTGGAAGCCAGCCCAGGGAGAAATGTCCTCGAGCCTCTCATCTCCAAAAAGCCAAAAATGGAGCTGTGCTTAGGTAGTAAAGCACTAGCCTTGAGCAAGAAAGCTCAGGGACAATGCTCAGGCCCGAAGTTCAAGTCTAAAGGTGGAGAGTACAGTAGAAAAAGAAGAACTTGCCATGAACCTTAAACGGCCTTAGAATTGTATGTTCTAAACCTACATAATCCTGTTTGAATTTGCTTTACTTTATTAAATCTATTCTTTTCCCCAGTTTTCAGATGCACTGAATAATACTGATTATAAACAGACTGTGATTGCTCAAGTAAGGTAAGTGTGCTCTAGACTGCTGGGTACTTTGGAGGCTCGGAGGTGTTTGCTTCTTTTCTCGTCTGCCCCTGAGTTTCCCCATGTGACATGAGGGTCTTCTCATGGCAAGTCTCATGGACAAGCAGGTGGTTAGACAGGTCATTGCAGAGAGGAATGTGCATGCCAGCCCTGCTAAGGTCACACTGCCTGTGTAGCCAGGATGGAAGGGTGTGGCCTAGAGAAGGTAAGAGGCTGGTGGTTGCTCAGCAACTTGTGCCTGTGGTGCAGAGCATCATCCGGACCAGCTTGTTTGGAGTGTGCATTGCAGGCAGAGACCACCCTGCCCACTCACACACAGCATGACTGAAGGGCTCGTCGTGAGCTGCTTCTGTTGTAAGAAGAGTGTTGATTGAGCATTCAGCATGTGAGACCAAGTGAATTCTCTGGAAGTTAGCAGTTCCACCTCAGCCTTCTATGAAGCACATGAATACACAAGCTTTCAAGCCAAGAATGTACAAAGATGAGTGGAGCTGGACAGAAAAGCAGCATGTGGAGTGTTGACGTTTTCTGGTCTACTGTTGTATTTATTCGTAAAAGGTGTGTCCAATCTTTGTGGATCAGGAGAAGGCAGGAGCATATACAATTGGACTTCTGTAGGCATGGGTTTCTGATTGGAGGATTCACCAAGCTGCTCTGAGAAAATATTTCACAGCTAAAATCTATTCTTATTAGGTGTGGTAGCTCACACCTGTAATCCAAGCTTCTCAGGAGACAAAGATCAGAGAAATCATGGTTCTGCAACAGCTGAAGCCAAGAATTAATGGGAATCCCATCCCATGTCATTCAATAAGCTGGTCATTGTGGTATTTTCCTGTAATCTCAACCATATGGAAGACTGTAGATAGGGGGATCTTGGTTCAAGGCCAACCACAGGCCAAAAGATGAGACCCTATCTAAAAGAAAGAAAAAAGGCTGAGAGGGTGTCTCAAGAAGTGAGAGAAACTTATATCGTCACCATCCTGCTGAAAGTGACAGCTATTAGGTCAGACATTCCTCCACATACTTCTGGTTAACTCTAAGCTCCCAGACCTAACACAGTTTATCCCCAACATTCCCAAAAATAAGTAGCCATGATTTTCCTACAAACTTTTCCAACAGGACATTGTTGTTGTTGTTGTGTTTTTCCCCAGAGATTTTCCCTAGGTACACATGAAATTGAAAAACTCATAGTGAAAGATTAATATGGTTCAGGACTGGGCCTCCATATTTGGACGCTGGTGATGGGTCAGGACTATGGGTCAGGACAAGGGCTGAGAGATTTGAAACCCTATTCATTTGTTGGCCCTTCCGTTCATCAAGTGACAGTCTCCTTTCCTTTCCAGCATTCTCGGTGGGTCAGCAAGATCCCTAATGCGTGCTGCAGGTCTGGTGCAGGCTTCTGTTCAAAACATTTTTGCAGAAGATACAGACCAAACCGAGTCCACTGTGTCTGATCTCATTCTCCAGGCAGCAGAGAATGACACAGATATTTCAGTTAATAATAGTAAGTATAATTTGGGTAAATAACTCTCCTCAAATACAAAGGTCTACCTGACTATTTGTAAACCTTTCCATTGTAGGTCAGAAGGGCCAAGGGCTACATGATCAGAACCCATGCCTACCTGCTGACTTTCAATCTGTACCTTCCATTCCTCTCACTTGCCTCTTCTTCCTTTCTAGCTGTGTCCCATGTCATCACACTGACATCTTTAGCATTCTCCTGGGAAGTACAAACCAGACATGTCACCTCTGGGCAAGGAAATAGGAGGAAATGAGAAATCAGAAGGATCACACCAACTCACAGCTTTACAAATGCCTATAGACAAACTCACCCTCTTCAGTGTAACTGTCAAAACTCATGTTTATGCTGTCCTAGGGACCATCCCAAAACTTAGTGGCCTAAAATATCGATATTTCCTTATTGTAATGTCTCTGGCACAGATTTTTTTTTCCTATAATGCTGGGTGCTGTCCCTCAGCTCTTTAGCTGAAGGCTAGCAGCCGACCACTTAAGCCACAGGGCCACTTCCAGCTTTTTTTCTGCTTATGTGTTCCTGAGGAATCAAACTCAGGGCCTCATGTATGCCAGGCTAGCACTCTACCACTGAGCCAACTTCCCAGGCGGGCCCATGGGTTAGATTTCGACATGGATCCAGGGAGAGGCCAAACTTGACTGATCTCCACAGGGCCTGGTTAAGCATCTCTCACTACACACACACACACACACACACACACACACACACACACAGCATTTCTCACTACACACACACACACACACACACACACACACACACACACAGTTGGGGTCTGGCATGTCTCAGATGGCTCCATCTCAGCTCCACACAGTGTTTCCTCCTCTAGCAGGCTAGGGTAAAAGACTTTCAAGAGCAGCTAGAAGATAAACTTCATTGTACAAGGGTTTCTCCAGCCTCTGCTTTATCACATGTATTACTCTCCTAAGCAGCCAGGCTAAATCGCAGGAGGAAGTGCTGCAGAAAGGACCCTGTCAAAGGGTGTCAGCCCAGAAATGTCAGAATGACTTGATGAGATTTCCCCACAGCAGTCATCATAAGCTCTTCACCCTAGCAAAGGATCAGTTAGTGCCAGCTCCAGAGGGGCTGCTGTGTGTCCTGGTTTCCAAGTACAAATGTCACTGTTGACCATAGTGCATTCACTGGCTTCTCTGTGGCTTTTAACACATCCCTCCCCTTCTTCAGTGCTTCTTCCCTGCGCTGCCTCTGTTCCATTCATTCTTGTCCCTCTCTGCCTTTCGTCATGTGTCTTTTACTCCTTTTATGATTTATGCCTTAAACATTTAAATGTTATTGTTGTTGTGACTTATTTATTGTTATTGTTATTGTTGTTGTTGTTGCCAGTCCTGGGACTTGAACTAAGAGCCTGGGCCCTGTCCCTGAGCCTCTTTGTGCTCAAGGCTTGCATTCTACCATTTGAGCCACAGGGCCACTTGCAGTTTTTGAGTGGTGAATTGGAGATTCACAGGGAGACAAGAAGCCAAATAGCAGCAGTTCTGGACAGTCCTGGGCATGATCAGGGCCATTGTCCAAAGACCAGATGTTTTGGGGATACTAAGAGATAGGATTAACATTAAGCTGGAGTTATTGGGACAAACATCTTCCACACCTTTGGTCTCAAGTAATGGTTCGCAAACTCTATCAGTAAAGGGCAAATAGACTCTGGCTAGAGTCAATATATAAATAAATAAACTTGGCTGTGCTCCAATAAAACTTTATTTACAAAAATAGAGTTGGGTGGCTTGGAAGGTGGTTCAGTGGTAGAGTGCTTGCCTTGCATGCCTGAGGCCCTGGGTTCGATTCCTCAGCACCACATAAACAAAAAGAAAAAAGCCGGAAGTGGTGCTGTGGCTCAAGTGGTATAGATCTAGCCTTGAGCTGAAGAGCTGAGGGACAGCGCCCTGGCCCAGAATTCAGGCCCCACGACGGGACCCAAAAAAAAAAAAATAGAGTTGGACAGATATGATTCTTGATCTATAGTTTGCCCACCCTGGTCTAGAAGAATCCTCAACCTTTGTAGCTTGAAGAATCTAGAGGGCTTGGAAGGTAGCTTAGTGGTAGAGTGCTTGCCTACCATGTATGAAGCCCTGGGTTTGATTCCTCAGTACCACATAAACAGAACAAGTGGGAAGTGGCCCTGTGGCTCAAGTGGTAGAGTGCTAGTCTTGAGCAAAAGAAACTGAGAGACAGTGCCCAGACCCTGAGTTCAACCACCTCCACATTTCTAGTGTATGAGACTCTCACGGCAGCTCACAAGACTGTAGAGACTCTCAGGGCAGATCACAAGACTGTAGAACCCTTAAGCTAATCTAAACACAAAACCTGGAATCTTTTTGTCTGACACATAAGATGACAATAGCCAACAAAAAAAATGGCCATTTGGCCACTTGTCAAACTTCCTTCCTCAGCTCTCACTAGGTCCTAGGACCAAGAAAAGATCTTATGCCTTGTCTGGCCAAGGAGTCTAGGCCAGGGCTGTGGAAACCATTGTCATGTTATTCTCACCATTTATTCAGTCTGTCCAATCAGAGCCAGAGGCTGGACCGATCACTTCCCTTGGAAAGGTCACTGTGTTGATCCACATTCTTTTGTTTGTTTTTGTTTTATTTATTTATTTATTTTTGATATTGAGGGTCTTAAACTCTGGGCTTGAGCGCTGTCCCTGAGCTCTTCAGCTCCAGGCTAATGCTCTCCCACTTCAGCCACAGCACCACTTCCAGTTTTCTGAGCGGTTTATTGAAGATAAGTGTCTCACAGACTTTCAGGCCCGAGCTGGCTTTGAACCACAATCCTCATATCTCAGCCTTCTGAGTAGCTAGGATTACAGGCATGAGTCACCTGGGCCCAGCGTCAAACCATATTCTATCCTTTGCGACGGACCAACTCGGTGGGAGCACTGGGACCTACGGGACAGGGATCTCAGGATAGGTGGGCAAAGGAGTCGGCGAAGTGACAGACAGACACAGACTCAAAAGAGTTGCATCTGAGTGTATCTTTATTGAGGAGAATTAACATTTTTATACAGTGTGTGATTGTGACATAGATTATTTGTTTATTTAAGCACGTAATCAATTTTTAAGGCAAAACATTGATGAATTACATGAAAATTAATGACTATCCCACCAACTGTTTAAGCTAAGTGGTGCGAAACAAGTCTAGCATATTGTTTAATAGAATACGTCATCTATTCAGCCTTTTTATGTTTAATAATTAACAAACCTAAGACAGGGCTGTACTTACATTATACTCTTTTTAATTTTATTTTTATCCAACTATTTTCATCTTTATAAGCTCCTGTATAAGGAAATGGTTCTTGGTTGGTTCAGGAAATATGTTACTAACTTTATATTTTGTGTGAAAACACCATCTATTCCCTACAACATAAGTTGGACTAAACTTAATCATAACTGTTGGGAGAATCTTTCTTTTTCTTATATAATCAGAGGTTTCTTCTTTCTTAGAACTCTCTAAAATACTAGGATAACTCTTTCTAACTTAGTGTAATTTATTGATTTTGTCTGTTGGACATATCTAGAAATTTTAAGTCTCTATATTTACTATGCGTGAGCTGCAAAACCGCTTGTGAAGTTGTAGGAGTTTCTGGAGGCAACGTCACATCAAATGATAGATTGATTGGGGCATTGCCCACATTTAATCTTTCGCCTTAGTCTTTATTACTTAGAGAAGCCATCTCTATTGGACTGGAAAAATACAACATGCTCTGTTCGCGATCAATAGAAAAATAGCCAAAACGAGAATAAAGGCAACGAATGTACAGTCAAGAAGAATATAGTAAGAATAAAGGTAGAGGCTATAAAGATGCAGCCAAGTGTTTGGGAAGCCTTGAACCAACACCCCCTTCCTGGGGGCATGCTTCCTTGAAGCTCTTTCACAGACTCCCCAGACTCCACAGAAGGTGGCATGGCACCCACTGGTCACAGAAAGATGCCCACTCAGCTGGAAATACCAGGAACCACTGGAAGTGCAGAAACTTAAGCGTTTGACCTTGTTTCTCTGGCCAGAGACTATTCGTTGAACTTGCAGTCCCTTATTCTGTTGCCAATGTCAAATCAGAAGCCATCTATCCACCACAGGCAGCTTTATGGAAGTGCTCTGCCCTCCTGCGCTGGCCTCTCTTTGCTGAACCCAGCTAAGGACTCCTTGCAGACACATCTTCATGGCTGCTTTGCCTGCTGTGATCTCTGCTCCTTTCCAAACGCTTGCTTCGGCAGCTTCCTCTCCATTGTGCCTCTCGGACTGGGTTCCCATGGTGGTTAGATACTGAGCTGCTTGTGAGAGGAGGAAACAAGAGTTATTATATACGATGGCAGGCCTGAACTGGCCTGGAGGCAGGACAGACGCTCTCCCAGGTGGGACTTGTCAGGGCACAGGGCAGGCATCCTGCCACTGGGCCCTGGGTCACTGTGGTGAGCAGCAGTCACACTGGAACTTCTCTTTCTCAGAGAACAACGGGTTAAGTCTGACCAGATTGTCTTTTTTAGGGAATCCAGTTCTCCACCAACTCCTGGGGGATGCCTGGGGCTTGAGTCTATGCCAGGCTCCACTCCTGTCCAGAACCTTTCATTCCAAAAGTTTCAACCAAGTGTATGTGGCGTGGCAATCCTTTACTTTTTCCTCCCTTCCTTCCTATGGGTAGATAAACCAGCTAGGTTCATCAGAGTATGGTGTATAGTTTCCTTTAGGAACTTCTTGGCTATGCTTTCTTGCAAGATGATTGTTCAGCCACCGTAAAAAACATACCCTTTTTTTTTTTTTCTAAAAGTTTCTCGGGGCTCTAAAAGATTTTCTAGAACACCCAGAAAATCTCAAGGGTCTTGATTCCTTGGCATGAGAAGTAAAAAATTTTGTATGTATCAGTACTGGAGCCTGAACTCAGAGCCTGGGCACGGTACCTTAGCTTTTTCACTCACCTCTGCTGCTCTACCCCATGAGAACCATAGCTCCATTCTGCCATTGTGGTTTGTAGTTGGAGATCGAGTTTCACAGACTCTTCTGCCTAGGCTGGCTTTGAACTTTGATTCTCAGAACTCAGCTTCCTAAGTAGCTAGGATTTCTGCAGGGAGCCACCAGTGCCTGGATAGCTGTTGTTGTGTTTGTTTGTTTGTTTGAAGTCTCTTTGTCAGCAGCCCTTTGTTCATTCGTCTCTAGCCTCTGTTGTCAGTGAGGATTTGGCTTCAGAGTTTCAGCAATGGACCTTCCTGAGACCTAAGAAAGCATGTGTTTGTTTCTAGATTATCTGAGGTGTGTGGTGGAAGCACACAGCCAGAGAGTAAAGAGAGCAGCAAAGAGGCAAGAAGGTTGAAAAACGTGTTTATAGTGTTATCTGCTCTCATCTCTGTGGATTTCTAACCTCTTCCTTCTCCATCCCAGGTACCAGTGACCTTTGCCAAGGGGACCCCTGTGGCATTGCTTCCTGCGTGGAACTAAACAACAAACATTTCTGCAAATGCCCGGAGGGATATTATTATACCTCTCTAAACTGCACAAAAGGTGAGTTAGAAGGGGCTGGGAATGTGGCTTAGTAAACTGCTTGGCTAGCATGCATGAAGTTATGGGTTTCATCCTCAGTACCACAAACACAGAAGACAATGGGATTGGCACTGTGCTGGTCTTGAGCAAGAGAAGCTCAGAGACAATGCCCAAGCCCTGAGTTCAAGCACCATAACTGACAACAAAAATGTGATTGACAAGCGCTGAGCATAGTGGAGCTCCACATCTCATACCTTCAGTGGGCTTTAGAGAAAAATTGAGATGGTGGTGAATAGAGTCTCTCAGATATGAGAAGCAAAAAGAAAAAAGCTGTAGAGGCCTCCAAGGGCCAGCCATATGAGGAAAAGGCTGTTATTACCTTGGACCAACACACACCCAGTGGGAGAGGAGATGGACAAAAGCAGACTTGCAGACTGGGCTGGAAGTCTGGGGAAGATGAGGTTCTTTCCTCCCGGGTTTCCGGGGTGGGGTGATAGAAACTATCAAAGACCATGTGACCACAAAGACTCCATCTACACTGTGCTGTTGAATCATGGGACATGCATGGACTGGGATCTTGGCTTTTCTTTTTAATTTTTTTTGTTTGAGGTTTGAGCTCAGATGCTGGCAGTCTTGCTTAGCTTTTTTCTTTTGTTTTGTTTGTTTGTTTGTTCGGTCGTGGGGCTTCAACTCAGGACCTGGGCGCTGCCCCTGAGCTTTCTGGCTCAAGGCTAGGATGCTACCACTTTGAGCCACAGCACCACTTGTGGTTTTTGAGCAGTTAATTGAAGATGAGATGCTCATAGACTTTACATGTACCCTGATCCTCAGATCTCAGACTCTTGAGTAGCTAAGATTACAAGTATGGGCCACACACAAGGCCTCCTGGCATTTTCGTTCATCTGGCCTTGTACCATTTGAGACACAATACTTCTGCTTCTGGCTTTTTGCCAGAATCGAGTCCCACAGACTTTTCCATGAGCTACTACAGTGAGATTCTGCTTGATTTTCAGGAAAGACATTCCTCAGAGAGATTACAGTAACAGTAAATGACACATCTGGCTTGGATGATGAACATTCTTTGAATTACCAAGAGTTACATGATAAAATCAATACATTTGTAAGTATTCTCCACCTTCCTTTCTCTAGATGAGTGTTGGTTCTCCTGTGGAGCTGGAGAGGGCGGGGTCTTCGGGTGGTGCACACCAACTCTGTTCCAGAGGTTCACGAAGTGAAAGGCACCCCTCCATCTTTGCCCATTCACAGGGCTTCTCCTTGATCTTCTGCCTGAAGCAGAGCCCTTGACATGGCAGAGGCCCTGGGACTCTTGCTCCACCAAACCCTCACCCATTGTTGTATAAACCATTCCTATAGATTTAGATGAAGAAGAAGCCTAACACTATTGTAAAGTAAGTTATTTCAGGGCATGCAGCTCAATGGGGCTGTGGAACCCTTGCCTAGTATGGAAAGGGCCCTGGGTTCAACTTCTACCATCAGGGTAGAGCTCAGTATGAGAGTGCCTGCTTGGCATGCACAAGGCTTTAAGAGAAATCTGAGCACTGCAATAAAGAGATAAACCAATGAAGAAATCAAAAGAGCTGCCCTGGTTTCTCCTGCTATGACTAATTAATTAAATAAGTAAAAGAATTCTCAACATGGAAGAGTGCTATGCACTGCTGTGGCTCAGATGACTCATGCCTGTGGTCCTAGCTATGCAAGAGTCTGAGATCTAAGGATTGCAATTGGAAGCCAGCTCAGGGAGAAAAGTCCACAAGCCTCTCATCTCCAAAAAGCCAAAAATGGAGCTGTGCTCAAGTAGTAAAGCACTAGCCTTTTGCAAGAAATCTCAGGGACAGTGCTCAGGCCTGAAGTTCAAGTCTAAAGATGAAGAGTACAGTAGAAAAAGAAGAACTTGCCATGAACCTTAAATGGCCTTAGAATTGTATGTTCTAAAGCTAGATAATCCCGTTTGAATTTGTTTTATTTTATTAAATCTATTCTTTTCCCAAGTTTACAGATGCACTGAAGGATACTGATTATAAACAGACTGTGATTGCTCAAGTAAGGTAAGTGTGCTCTAGACTGCTGGGTGCTTTGGAGGCTCGGAGGTGTTTGCTTCTTTTCTCGTCTGCCTCTGAGTTTCCCCATGTGAGATGAGGGTCTTCTCATGGCAAGTCTCATGGACAAGCAGGTGGTTAGACAGGTCATTGCAGAGAGGAATGTGCATGCCAGCCCTGCTAAGGTCACACTGCCTGTGTAGCCAGGATGGAAGGGTGTGGCCTAGAGAAGGTGAGAGGCTCAGCAACTTGTGTCTGTGCTCCAGAGCATCATCCGGACCAGCTTGTTTGGAGTGTGCATTGCAGGCAGAGACCACCCTGCCCACTCACACACAGCATGACTGAAGGCTCGTAGTGAGCTGCTTCTGTTGTAAGAAGAGTGTTTATTGAGCATTCAGCATGTGAGACCAAGTGAATTCTCTGGAAGTTAGCAGTTCCACCTCAGCCTTCGCTGAAGCACATGAATATACAAGCTTTCAAGCCAAGAATGTACAAAGATGAGTGGAGCTGGACAGAAAAGCAGCATGTGGAATGTTTAGGTTTTCTGGTCTACTGTTGTATTTATTCGTAAAAGGTGTGTCCAATCATTTGTGGATCTGGAGAAGGCAGGAGCATATACAATTGGACTTCTGTAGGCATGGGTTTCTGATTGGAGGATTCACCGAGCTGCTCTGAGAAATTATTTCACAGCTAACATCTATTCTTATTAGGTGTGCTAGCTCACACCTGTAATCCAAGCTTCTCAGGAGACAAAGATCAGAGAAATCATGGTTCTGGAACAGCTGAAGCCAAGAATTAATGGGAATCCCATCCCATGTCATTCAATAAGCTGGTCATTGTGGTATTTTCCTGTAATCTCAACCATATGGAAGACTGTAGATAGGGGGATCTTGGTTCAAGGCCAACCACAGGCCAAAAGATGAGACCCTATCTAAAAGAAAGAAAAAAGGCTGAGAGGGTGTCTCAAGAAGTGAGAGAAACTTATATCGTCACCATCCTGCTGAAAGTGACAGCTATTAGGTCAGACATTCCTCCACATACTTCTGGTTAACTCTAAGCTCCCAGACCTAACAAAGATTATCCCCAACTTCCCAAAAATAAGTATCCACGATTTTCCTACTAACTTTTCCAACAGGACATTGTTGTTATGTTTTCCCCAGAGATTGTCTGTAGGTACACATGAAATTGAAAAACTCATAGTGAAAGATTCATATGGTTCAGGACTGGACCTCCATATTTGCACCCTGGTTATGGGTCAGGACTACGGGTCAGGACAAGGGCTGAGAGATTTGAAACTCTATTCATTTGTTGGCTCTTCCGTTCATCAAGTGACAGGTTCCTTTCCTTTGCAGCATTCTCAGTGGGTCAGCAAGATCCCTAATGCGTGCTGCAGGTCTGGTGCGGGCTTCTGTTCAAAACATTTTTGCAGAAGATACAAAGCAAACCGAGTCCACTGTGTCTGTTCTCATTCTCCGGGCAGCAGAGAATAACCCAGATATTTCAGTTAATATTAGTAAGTATAATTTGGGTAAATAACTCTCCTCAATTACAAAGGTCTACCTGACTTTTTGTAAACCTTTCCATTGTAGGGCAGAAGGGCCAAGGACTACATGATCAGAACCCATGGCTATCTGCTGACTTTAAATCTGTTCCTTCCATTCCTCTCACCTGCCTCCTCTTTCTTTCTAGCTGTGTCCCATGTCATCACACTGACATCTTTAGCATTCTCCTGGGAAGTACAAACCAGACATGTCACCAGACATGTCACCTCTGGGCAAGGAAATAGGAGGAAATGAGAAATCAGAAGGATCACACCAACTCACAGCTTTACAAATGCATATAGACAAACTCACCCTCCTCAGTGTAGCTGTCAAAACTCATGTTTATACTTTCCTAGTGACCATCCTAAAACTTAGTGGCCTAAAATATCAATATTTCCTTATTGTATTGTCTCTGGCACAGATTTTTTTTTCCCATAGTGCTGGGCGCTGTCCCTCAGCTCTTTAGCTCAAGGCTAGCACCCTACCACTTACGCCACAGGGCCACTTCCAGCTTTTTTTCTGCTTATGTGGTCCTGATGAATCCAAATCAGTGCCTCATGTATGCCAGGCTAGCACTCTACCACTGAGCCAACTTCCCAGGCTGGCCCATGGGTTAGATTTCGATATGGCTCCAAGGAGAGGCCAAACTTGATTGATCATCTCCACAGGGCCTGGTTAAGCATCTCTCACTACACACACACACACACACACACACACACACACACACACAGTTGGGGTCTGGCATCTCTCAGATGGCTCCATCTCAGCTCCACACAGTGTTTCCTCCTCTAGCAGGCTAGGGTAAAAGACTTTCAAGAGCCCCTAGAAGATAAACTTCATTGTACAAGGGTTTCTCCAGCCTCTGCTTTATCACATGTATTACTCTCCTAAGCAGCCAGGCCAAATGGCAGGAGGAAGTGCTGCAGAAAGGACCCTGCCAAAGGGTGTCAGCCCAGAAATGTCAGAATGACTTGATGAGATTTCCCCACAGCAGTCATCATAAGCTCTTCACCCTAGCAAAGGATCAGTTAGTGCCAGCTCCAGAGGGGCTGCTGTGTGTCCTGGTTTCCAAGTACAAATGTCACTGGCTTCTCTGTGGCTTTTAACACATCCCTCCCCTTCTTCAGTGCTTCTTCCCTGGGCTGCCTCTGTCCATTCTTCTTGTCCCTCTCTGCCTTCCTCATGTTTCTTTTACTCCTTTTATGATTTATGCCTTAAACATTTAAATGTTTTTGTTGTTGTTACTTATTTATTGTTATTGTTGTTATTGCCAATCCTGGGACTTGAAATAAGAGCCTGGGCCCTGTCCCTGAGCCTCTTTGGCTCAAGGCTTGCATTCTACCAGCTCAAGGCTTGCATTCTACCATTTGAGCCACAGGGCCACTTGCAGTTTTTGAGTGGTGAATTGGAGATTAGAGTCTGCCTGGTCTGGCTTTGACCTGTTTTCCCTATATCTCAGGCTCCCGAATAGCTAGGGTTACAGACATGAGCCACCAGTGCCCAATGTTTGATTTTTAATAAGTGTAACCCCAGACCTAATCTAGAGACTCATTTCTCTCTTAAATCATGAGCAACTCCTGCTCATTTATAGTTTTTCACCACCTTTCCTATTTCTTTGAAATATTGAAAAGATTCTCACCAGGACCTTAAACATAAATGTTATGGGAGAAAACACTGAGAATTGTATTAGAGAATACAGTGGTCCCATCCGCTGGTAATTTGTTTGTCTTTTAACAGCATACACCATTTTTTTCCATCTAAGTGTAATTTTCCAGCAAAAGGTACTAGAGCTGCATACATGCACGCCCACACACACATACATGTGCAGGCACACACATCCACACACATCCACATTTTTCTTTTAACTTTAGTCCTTTTTTCTTCTTTGTTGAAGCTTTTCTTTTGGGAGGGGGGGTCCGGTCGTCGGGCCTGAACTCTGGGCCTGGGAGCTGTCCCTCAGCTCTTCAGCTCAAGGCTAGCGCTCTACCACTTGAGCCACAGCGCCACTTCCAGCTTTTTTCTTTTTGCTTATGTGGTGCTGAGGAATCGAACCCAGGGCCTCAGGCATGCAAGGCAAGCGCTCTACCACTGAGCCACCTTCCCATCCTGGGGTTCTCTTTTTAATTTGGTTTTTTCCTCAAAGTGTTTCTCATCTCTCAGGTTTTCAATCCTTTGACCCTCCCCTAGATTTCTTACAACTCACATTTGCATTGTTGCAGATAAAGCCTCTCACCTTCTTGAACTATTTTTTTTATCCTCCAGAGTCTCTTGCAGTGGAATTAACACTTCTTCTTTCCTGACAGTGTCAGTGTTTTCTCCCTCAACATCTATAGTATGCATGTCTGTGACATCTCTGATGTCTCTTTTTCCTTGCCTGCTAAGGGGCTGTCACTTCTCAAGTAGCAATTCACGCAGGCAGAATTCCTGCCCCCTACCCCATCTTATCACACACTCTACTTTTGACTAGCTCAGACTTACAGCACTTGTGAGGAGGCAGAGGGTCTCCATCAGCATGGGAACTGGCCTGTCAGGGTAGTCACCAGCCAAGAACAACTTGTATATTCCTCCAGATAATATTGGGAAAGCCAGTCACTGGTGGCTCATAACTGTAATCCTAACTACTCAGTTGAGATCCTGAAGATCATGGTTCAAAGCCAGTTTGGGCTTGGAAGTCTGTGAGAATTTTTATTTCCAGTTAACCAGCAAAAAGCTGGGAGTGAAGCTATGACCCAAAGGTAGAGGGCCAATCTTAAGTGAAAGACCTAAGGGACAGTACCCAGGCCCCTGAGTTCAAGTCTAAGTACTACCCTCCCCTCAAAAAGGATAATATTGGTAGTCCCCACCCCCACCCCATGAATGCTCTGTTTTGGCTCTTGTGAATAATTGTGAAAACATTTGATCCATGTCCTGAAGATTTCTTTGTGGTCAATGCTTCTCAACATCTTCTTCTACTCTGAGACTCAGCATGAGCTACAAGAACACAAAGCAGCCTGATATGGAAGTAAGCAACTCAAAGCTCAGAGGACAGCACCTTTTCTGCCACCAGCTTCAGTGGCAAAATAGATTCTCTTTTCTGCGCCAAAAGTTGTAGAATCTCCTTTTTTCTTTTTTTCCTTCATTTCTTATTTTTCTCTCTCTTCTTTGTCATTCTCTTTTTCTTTCTCTTGCTCCCTTTTTCTCTCTCCCTTGTCCTTCTCTCTTCCCTTCTTTCCTTCCTTCCTTTTTTGTTCTTGTGGCAGGATTGAACTTGAGCTCAGAGCCTCAAGCTCTTGCTTAGATTTTTTTCGCTTAAGACTGGCACTGTACCACTTGAGCCACACTTCTACTTCTGATTATTTACTAGTTAATTGAAGGTAATAATCACTCTGAGATTTTTCTGCCCAGGCTAGCTTTGAACCTCAGTCCTCAGATCCCAGCCTCCTATGTAGCTAGGATGATAAGCATGAGCCACCATCACATGGCTTGCTACTCTATTGTCTTGCTGAACATATATTTTTAAATTTGTACTTCTTACAGGGATGGATCCATGTGAATCTTCTGGTTGTAAATATGATGGTAATAACTGCACTGATATTTTACTATGTGAATGCAAAACTGGGCTGCAAAGACCTAACCCATTTTCTACTTGTAATGGTAAGTATTTTAAATATTCTTTGCAGCTCACTTACTCTCCTTTTTTGCATTTGCAAAATACAGACTTGACCACTTGGACTTCTATATACATTCCAAGACTGAGTGGCATGAATTTTGGTTTTGCACCAGGACTGAATCTGGGCTAGGAAGTGACTTATGTGCATCTTTGCAGGGAGTATGTCTTGGTAGAGGCAATGGCCATCTGATTTTACTTAGAAAAAAAGCAATGTGGAAAAGATGTTTTCTTCACTTTAGGGTTAAAAAGATTGTTTCCAGCCAGGCGCTAGTGGCTCACGCCTGTAATCCTAGCTACTCAGGAGGCTGAGATCGGAGATCACAGAAGCCATTCCGAGCAGAAAAGTTGATGAAACACTATCTCCCACTAACCACCAAAAAAGGCAAAATAGAGCTGTGGCTCTAATGGTAGAGTGCTAGTCTTGAGTGGAAAAAACTAAAGGATAGGGCCCCAATTACTGGCACCAAAAAAAAAAGAAGGATTGTTTTTGAAAATTGCTCAGAAATCATTCTGCCTTGAAACTCTAGGTCTACATTGTCCTGACAACTGCATTGCTGAGAACAAAAAGCAATGTACAAGGGACAGCAATGGAGCCTCCGTGTGTGAGTGCCTGCCAGGCTACAAGAATGACAAAGGGTTCTGTGAAAAGTAAGAGAAATCACCTTGTTTTTACCTAGCGGGGCTAGAATTTACAAGCAACATACAGGGGAGAGCCAGGAAGCTGTGAGCTGGCAGAGCTGGCAGGTGTGGAGAGCGTCTTCCTCTTCTTCTCCAGTGGTGTCTGAGCATTCTCTGTGTCCAGGAACCACACAAGATAGAAGCGAGTGACCACACACCGTGGGAAATGTATTAACTGTGCAGTTGCAGAGGAGGGAACTGGCGCTGCATGCAGATGGCATGCCAGTGCTGACGGAGCGGGAGCAGGTGGCAGGATTGTGTGGCATCACCCTCGAGAGGGTCTCGGTGCCTCTTGGGCTCTGTGTCACCTGGGTGGCTGAGCCTTCCAGGAGGAGCAAGAGGCCTCGTAGGACTGGCTAGAAGGTATTCTTCTGGAAAAAAAAGAATGGAACATAAGGAAAGCAAGAGAGAGAAGGAGCCGGGGAGGGCAGAAGAAAAGGAGATAGAAAAGGAGAAATGGAAGTAGCGTGGGACGGAGACTCCAGCACACTCTCTCATGTATTTTCTCATTCTTCACCCTATTCCAGGTGTCCATTTGGCTACAATGGAAAGGACTGTGAAGACCGTGAGTACAGATGTTGTGCTATTATAGATAAGGCACTGGTGGCTCACGCCTTTAATCCTAGCTACTAAGGAAGCTGAGATCTGAGGTTTCAAGCCAGCTGAGGCAGAAAAATCCATGAGACTTGTATCTCCAATTAACCATCACAAATGCTAGAAGTAGAGCTGTGGCTCAAGTTGCAGAGCTGTAGCCCTGAGCAAAAAAGGCTCAGGGACAGCACCCAGGCCCCGAATTCAAGTCATCTGAGAATGGAACAAGGCCCCCTGTTAATACCTGGTTTGGTCTGGCTTCCTTCATCAAAAAAGTCTGTCTGTAACTTGTCTTCTGGGCCCTGCATTCCATGCTCCTCTTGGGTTCTGGGTGCCAGCTCTGCTTTGGAAATCACAGAACTCAGGCTTAGTGTGGGCTCAGGCCTCAGGGCCCATTTCAATCCAAAGAGCATCCTAAGTCGTTATTCTGATGGCCCACATCAGCTAAAATATGGATGCTCTGCTACTAGAAAGGATAAAAGATCCATGTATTCCAAAGATGGTTGTTGTAGGAGAGCAGGCCTGGAAATCAGACATTAGTTCTGAAATCTTCTTGCCTTCATTATTTACTGGCTTAGATGTCCTCTTGCAAATTCAATTGCTTCATCCCATCCTAAAGCCATCTCTCACCCAGACTGGAACAACGCAAACTTTAAACATTTGGTAATTTAGACAATGCATTCAGTAAAGCTCAGTGATCTGAAATTGCCTATGAGCACCAGCTTTGTGCCAGTGCAAATAGCACTGGAAGCATTGTACCCACACTCACGTGTGGAGGGCTTGGTTGCCAGAACAGTTCTGCCAAGTCATTTCTTCCTTCTGGCTCTCAGCTGCCACATGAATAAAATGATAGATTTAGCCGGGCACTGGTGGTTCACTCCTGTAATCCTAGCTACTCAGGAGGCTGAGATCTGAGGATCACAGTTCAAAGCCAGCCCAGGCAGGAAAGTCTGTGAGACTCTTATCTCCAATAAACTACTAGAAAACCAGTAGTGGGGACTGGG